CACGGGGAGCCAATCCTCCCGCCTCCCTCTCGCTCGCTCTCAAACCGGGGCTCACCCCCGTCACTCCCACCACCAACGACTTCAACCCCGCCATCAACCTCACCCCTGCGCCCCCCTCGCCCATCGCAGCCATCAGCGACCTTTCCCCCTCCGCGAGCGACGATGGGGATCGGCAAAGCCGCCGGGTTCATCTCAAGGTGGTGCTGAACAGCGGTGAGGAGCGGGGAGAGGAGGTCAGCCTTACCGAGCCAGTGATGATGGAGCCAGGACAGGTGGAGCTTCCTCACTGCAGCACCAGTAAGTTCGGGGGGAACTCGGCCCCGGGCAGGACCCCCATCGCCACAGACCCTCGCCCGCTCCAAAACCTCAGCACATACGTCCAGCCCAGCCACGAACACGAGCCAATGAGGAACCCGGAGGCTGAGGACAGCCAAGAGGACAAAGCCAACATGGTGATCATGGACGGTGTGAGTTACCGGGCACCGAGCCCCGGCACAGTGCAGGCGACCAGCAGTGGGGCCGTGGGGGCTTCTCAGGGACCAGAAGATGACGGGCAACATGGAGAGACGGGAGATGTACCAGCCCCGTGGTTGTTGTCAGGTGATGGGGCCGAGGAGGGGGAGATTGACCGGGAGCCGAGGATCAGACCCTCCCCCGTTGCCGAGCTCCCCTTTCGTCTGCCAACCCCCACTGGGGAGCTGCCCTCGGGGGGAGGAGCCCCCGGCACGGGGGAGGATTTGCCAGAGCCTGAGGTCCCCCCCAAGGAGAGCGACGCTCAGCGTGAGAGCGAGTCGGAGCCGAGTTTGGAAGGTGGGGGGGCGGAGGAGGATTGTACAGACGAGGAGAAGGACAAGGAGGGAGAGACCCCGGCACAGAAACCTCCCAAAACAGCGACCCCCGAAAAGAGGCAGCGTAAACGGCTGTCGTTACCGGCTTCAGACCGACGCCTGCGGAGCCAACAGCCCCCCGGAGAGAGACCGCAGCCCAGCTCCTCCCCGCCCCTTGAGGGCTGTAAGCAGGAACCCCCCCTCCTGGAGGGGCTCCAGATGCCCTATATCAAGGTGAAGCTGCTGCGAGGCCAGAGGGAGGGGAACTACACGCGAGAGGTGGATGTGAGCCGAGCCGTCTCCGTCCACTTCCCCGGCGACTGCCTCAACAAGTCGCTGCTGGAGAGCATCACGGACCCGCAGAGCCAGCTGGACGAGGCGCCGGGTGGAGACGTCGGCAAAGAGGGCGTCCAGACGAGGAAGACAGTGAAGAATGCGGGGAGGGGGCTGAGCGGGAAGGAGTTTGTGAAGCTGGTTGAGGAGGGGCTGAGCGGTGGGGGCTCCCAGGGCAGGAACATTGAGATCCACCTGGACACACAGGACTCCCACCATCGCAAGGTTTCCTTCTCCAGCGAGAGCGGCGAGGCCGGCCGGCTTCAGGACTCTTTAGACGGGGAAGAGGACGACGACTCCGCAGTGAGGCTGTCCTGTGAGAACGATGCCCACCTCCGTTCCTCCCCCAGGAAGCCAAATCTCAAGGAAAGCTCCAAGAGTCCGAGAGGAGCCAGCGGAGAGAGAGAGAAGACCCCCGATTTGGGTTTGGGGGCTTCACACCCAGGTAAGAAAGGAACGAATTCCCAACCGTTGCTGGGAGAGAGCAAGGGAGAGGCGGGGCTCCGGGAGGCGAGCGATGCAGAGCTGGAGACCCCACTGGCTGTGTTGGGAGAGAGAGAGAGCTGTGCTGCAGTTACAGATACCAGCCACCAGGGGGAGACAGATAACCAGTTGGATTCCAGCGACATGGACCTTCCCGGGGGGAGCAGACCAAAGTTCCTGGACTGGTGCTCGGAGGACGAGAACCAGGAGCTGATCACCACCTTGAGCACCAAGTACGAGAGGCTCCACAAGGTGTGGGTGGTTCAGGCAGAGAAGGAAGGCCCGGCGTTGGCCAAAGGCAAGTGTAAGTCAGACCGGCTGAAGGAGATCTGGAAAAGCAAGAGGAGATCCCGCAAGGCGAGGGGAGATTACGACCACAAGTCGTCGCCAGTGCAGAAACTCTTCCTGAACGACTTCAACCTGGTCAACATCTGCCGCTGGTTCATGGAGACCACCGAGACCCGCTCGCTAGTCATCATCAAGAAGGTCAACTCCCGGCTGAGCCCGGTGGATAATCTCAAGACCAAGAGCTACCTGCAGAAGCTGCCTCTGGGCGGGCTGTTCCCCAGCGCGCAGGCCGAGAGGCTGAAGAAACACCTCAAGAAGTTTGCAGTGGTCTCGCCAGCCAGGAATAACTGGAAGACCAGGGCGCTGGTGGAGAGAGCCCGCCTGGGGCTGGGCGAGGAGCAGAGCGACCGAGAGAACTTCTTGCTGGACTCCACAGAGGGGATGGTTCCCAGGAACCTCTTCCCCTCACAGGCTCGAGGAGGGGGAGGCCAGGCTGGAGATGTCAGCCATCTGCGTGTCAACAAGAAAGTCTCGCCTCCCAAACCCCTGGGGCTGAAGAAGCCAGTGAGCAGCTGGATCCTCAGGAAATATTCCAACATGAGAGACAAACTCCGAGCTCAACATAGGTTCAAGCCCTCCCCTGCCGAGCCCAGACACAAGAGTGTGTGTATGAATCCCCTGGTCTCCCCCAAGCTGACCTCCCAAACCCAGCTGGACTCGTGCAGAGAACCTCCTCCACCCCGGCCAGAGGAGAGCAGGGGCAGAGGGAAAGCGGTGAGGAGGAGGGGAAGGCAGCTCGGCCGGAGTAGGCCCGAGACAGAGCCTGCTGCCCAGACTGCCAAACCCGGGACAAAGGTCGCGAGCGGCAAGTCCCGGGTCAAAGGGCGGCTGGTTGGCTCCAGATCGTCCGTCGCGGTCGCTGCCGGGAACCAGGGCGGCAAGAGAGCGACAGCGCGTCGCTCGCCCAGCCCGGCTGTGAAGGCCTCGCCGCGGAGCAGCTCCCTCCCTCGCTCCCTCCCTCCCTCACTCCCTCGCTCCCTCACTCCCTCCCTCGCTCCTCACTCCCTCACTCGCTCCTCACTCCCTCCCTCCCTCCCTCGCTCCTCACTCCCTCACTCGCTCCTCACTCCCTCCCTCCCTCCCTCGCTCCTCACTCCCTCCCTCGCTCCTCACTCCCTCACTCGCTCCTCACTCCCTCCCTCCCTCCCTCCCTCGCTCCTCACTCCCTCCCTCCCTCCCTCCCTCCCTCCTCACTCCCTCCCTCCCTCACTCCCTCACTCCTCACTCCCTCCCTCCTCCCTCCCTCCTCCCTCCCTCACTCCCTCCCTCGCTCCTCACTCCCTCCCTCACTCCCTCGCTCCTCCTCCCTCCCTCGCTCCTCACTCCCTCCCTCACTCCCTCCCTCCTCCCTCACTCCCTCACTCCCTCACTCCCTCCCTCACTCCTCCTCCCTCACTCCCTCCCTCCCTCACTCACTCACTCCCTCCCTCCCTCCCTCGCTCCTCACTCCCTCCCTCCCTCCCTCGCTCCTCACTCCCTGCCTCCCTCCCTCCCTCGCTCCTCTCTCCTCCCTCCCTCCTCACTCCCTCCCTCCCTCCCTCCTCACTCCCTCCCTCCCTCCCTCACTCCCTCCCTCCCTCCCTCCCTCCCTCCCTCACTCCCTCCCTCCCTCCCTCCCTCCTCCCTCACTCACTCCCTCCCTCCCTCGCTCCTCACTCCCTCCCTCGCTCCTCACTCCCTCCCTCCCTCTCTCCCTCCCTCACTCCCTCCCTCCCTCCTCACTCCCTCCCTCACTCCCTCCCTCACTCCCTCCCTCACTCCCTCCCTCGCTCCCTCCCTCCCTCCCTCCCTCACTTCCTCCCTCCCTCGCTCCCTACCTCCCTCTCCCCCTCCCTCACTCCCTCCCTCGCTCTCTCACTCCCTCCCTCCCTCTCTCCTCACTCCCTCCCTCCCTCCCTCCTGCACTCCCTCCCTCCCTCGCTCCCTCCCTCACTCCCTCCCTCCCTCCCTCCCTCCCTCACTCCCTCCCTCCCTCCTGCACTCTCTCGTGGCTGTACTCTGCGCTGTGACCTTTTCCCACTCTCTCAGCGAGAGAATAAATTGTAGTCCGGGTGAGATTTATTTAGTGTTGCCGGTTACCAGGGCAACCGCGCTCCGGCCGGTGTCAGAGGCTGATCAGACAGATTGATTTTTTTTGGGACCAATTTAACAGACGGGATGTTGCGGGGGCGGTGGGGGTGGGCGGTGGGCGGTGGGGGTGGGTGGTGGGGGGGAGGCCGTGGGCTCAGCGGGGAGGGGGGCGCGTGGACCGAGGGCAGAAGAAGGTCGGAGCAATAAAGCGGTGGCTGGGAGGACCCCTCCCCATGATGGGGTCAATGATTGGTCTGTGGTTGTGTCGGTCTAATCCGAGCGCATGTGAGAGCCAACGCAGGTCACTGGGGCCCCAACGGTCTCTTTGTGTGTTGTCAATTCTGAACGGTGTTTTCCTGATGCACTGTAACCGTTGTGCGTGTGTGCGCGTACGTCTGTGAATGCTTGTGTGCATGCGTATGTGTGCCTGTGTGCCTGTGCGTGTGTGCGCCTGTGCGTGTGTGTCTGTGCGTGTCTGTGCCTGTGCCTGTGTGCGCCTGTGCGTGTGTGCGCCTGTGTGTGCCTGTGTGTGTGTGTGCCTGTGTGTGTCTGTGTGTGTGTGTGCCTGTGTGTGTGTGTGTGCCTGTGTGTGTCTGTGTCTGTGTGTGCCTGTGTGTGTGTGCCTGTGTGTGTGTGTGTGCCTGTGCCTGTGTGTGTCTGTGTCTGTGTGTGCCTGTGTGCCTGTGTGTGCCTGTGTGTGTGTGCCTGTGTGTGCCTGTGTGTGTGTGTGCCTGTGTGTGTCTGTGTGTGTGTGTGCCTGTGTGTGTGTGCCTGTGTGTGTCTGTGTGTGTGTGTGCCTGTGTGTGTGTGTCTGTGTGTGTCTGTGTCTGTGTGTGCCTGTGTGTGTGTGCCTGTGTGTGTCTGTGTGTGCCTGTGTGTGTGTGTGTTTTTGCCTTTCTATTGCAGCCGTCTGCACTCGAATGCGCTGCAGTGTGACTGCCGTCTGTCCTGGATGTCTCAGTGGCTGAGGCAGAGACCGCAGGTCGGGCTGTTCACACAGTGTGTGGGACCAGACCACCTCCGCGGCCTCAACCTGGCCGAGATACAGCGGCACGAGTTCTCCTGCTCAGGTGAGGGTCTCTCAGGTGAGTGAATCATCCGCCTGTGCTGTAGCAGACGATCGACGCCGTCCCTCCCTTCTCCCCGCGGGAGCTTTAACGTGTGTGTGAACAGGACACAGACAGTCGGGGCGTTCAACGTCTCATCCGAAGGACGGAGCCTCCGACAATGCAATGCTCCCCCCAGCGCTGCGCTGGAGTGTCCTGGACTGTCCCTGACCGGGGGGCGATGGGGGGAATGTCTGACCCTGTGGTGAGAGCCGGGGGCCGAGGCCGGAGCGTGTGTATCAGCCCCGATGTTATATGATTAATGAGGACGGGGTTTAGAGACCGCCTGTGATATCTGCTCGGCTGCTGTCTCCGCAGCTGAACAAACAGGATATATGTCTGCTGGTGGCAGTGACGTGGGGGGCCCTGAGTTTGGGCGAGCAGTTCACGCTCCAATTCCTACCCCCCCAACCCCCCCCCCACCCCCACCCGCCCCAACCCCAACCTCCCCCTCAGAGAGAGAGTGAGAGAGAGAGGGGCCCACACCTGGGGACCCGAGTCTCTACTCCTGGAGTTTACGTTCGTTATTATAAGATATTTCCCCTTCCTCTCCCCCCCCACTCCCCCAAGCCTCCCCCACCCCCCCCCCCCCCCCCTCTCCACTAACTCTCAGGAAGGCAGTTAGGAAGCAAACTGCAAACTCGGGAGAATTTGTGGAATTCACTCAAACTCCCCTCAGACAACAAGATGCCAATAGAGCAGCATCTTTATGGATCTGTGCTTCATGGCAAAGTAGCTCAGTGGTTGGAGCCGTCGCCTCGCCTCGCCTCGCCTCGCCTCGCCTCGCCTCGCGGGCGAGAGGACCCGGGTCCGGTTCCCGGGCCGGGCAAATGGTCGGGCAGGTTTCCTCACTCCGCACGCCTCTGTTTACCGGCAGTGGGAGTAGGAACCCGGCTGTCAGTTGGTTGGCGGATCGCTTTCGTAGGGGCAGTCATCCCTCAAAAAAAAAAAATCATTTGGTCACTCAATCCCACGACTGTTTGTGGGTCACTGCTGTGCGCAGTTGGCTGCCGCGGTTCGCTTTTACTGTACACTATATCCTGTGAAGCGCTTTGAGACGTCTCGAAGACGTGATGAGGCTCTGTACCAAATGCCGGGATTATTATCAGTAGTTTTGCTCCAGTTATTATCTTTGTTACCGCTGCGTCTGAGAACCTCAGCTGCTGGGCCTCGGCCACCAGACCTCAGCTATGAGGCCTCACCTACCAGATGGTGATCAGTGCAACGACGATCCAGGATTATTATTATTATTATTATGATCAATAACTCATTATTTTAATCGATTAATTATTATACTTCCATTTGACCGAGCGCCTCGCTTTCACTTCGGGAGAACGTCTCACAATGATACCGTGTCGAGCGTAGTGACTGTGTGTTGTGGTCTGCAGGTCAGTCGGACGGCCCTCAGGCTCAGTCCTGTGGCCGGCCCTCCGCGTCCTGCCCGGCCGTGTGCTCCTGCAGTAACAGCGTCGTGGACTGTCGTGGGAAGGGGCTGACGGCGATCCCCGCAAACCTGCCCAACACCGTCACCGAGATGTGAGTGTGGGAGCAGCTCCGACAGCGCACGGCCATCGGGGGGGGGGGGGGAGCGTGTGAGTGTGAGAAACCGCGTGTGTGAGTGTGAGCGTGAGTGTGAGCGAGTGTGAATAAATTAGTGCGAGTGAGTGTGTAAATCAGAGTGTATCTCTCACGAATGTGTGTAGGTGAGTGACTGTGAGCGGGTGAGTGTGAGGGGGTTTGAGTGTGAGTGGGTGTGAGTGTGTGAGTGTGAGTGAGTGAGTGAGTGATAATCTGTAATGATAATGAATCCTCGGGTCGTTCCCTCCTGACAGACGATTGGAGCAGAATGGGATCAAGTCGGTCCCTCCAGGAACGTTCTCTCCCTACAAAAAACTGCGGCGGATGTGAGTCTCTCACACTCTCACTGACACACTCGCTCACACTCACACCAACTCTCGCTCACACTCACACCAACTCTCGCTCACACTCACACCAACTCTCGCTCACACTCACACCCTGGATGGCCCTCAGCCCGAGGCCAGGGTTGATGTGGACGCTCCCCCCCGGGGTTGATGGTCAGTGTGGAGCTC